TCCTTCACGAACACACCAACTTGCAAGTCAGTGCTCTGTATGCCCTGCAGGTGCACTGCAATGCCAATGCTTTTCCAAAAGGTACAGAATGCACATAAGATTGTTACATTTTGTCTGTTGAGATTTTCTGAATGACTAAATGAGAATTTTTCTAATTTGAGGTTTGTGGCTCTGACTTGTTTTTGTGATTCAGGTATGTTGCTTCGCTACTTTGTCCACTTTTATGACATGGAGATCATCGAGGAGGAAGCATTTCTTGCTTGGAAAGAAGATATTTCCCAAGAATTTCCTGGGAAAGGAAAAGCCTTATTCCAGGTTAGTTTATTTGACTAATCTCGGCAGTTTCATCAAATGGAAAAAAGGTTTTGTGTGGCTTTTTATTTTTACATTTTCTAATGTATTAAAAATAAAAAAATAATTATATTTTGTATTCTACTTTTAATGTTTTTCTCCATCAAACCTCCTTTAAATCTTTAACTTTCATGTATGTGAGAGCTCGACAGCACTGGGGCTTCCATTTTAAAGTTCAGGAGCATCCTCCAAAAATGAATGAGCACCTCTACTACAAATTATTTATTAATTAATGTATTGTAATTGATAACAATTTCATTAATTCTGAGATAACTTGTTGAAATTATAGTTATTATAATAAATTAAGTTTCTTTCCAACATACTCGCAGGTGCCACCCTCAGTATTTTCCGAGGTCGCCTCTATTCGCTTGTTAAGTGATGACGTGTTAGTAACGTATGTAATACTGTTTCTGGGTCCAAGCTGCCGCTTATTTGAATTGAGAATATATTGGTTTATGATCACTTTTTATTCATATCGCACAATAAAGTTAATTTTATATATAGTGTACACAACAGTCTCTAACTGTTGTTTTCTAACAGAGAAAACAACAGTCTCACAACAGCATCACAAAAACTAAAGTTTAACAATTAAAAAAAAATTTATCACTTTCGTCAGCCCTGCTCATCAGTCAACTTGAACATTATTCTTTCAATAGCCAACCTGGTCCTTTACAGTACAGTTATCTTTCATAAGCTGAAAAGGGCAAGCTTCTTTGGTGATGTGTGCAGTGGTAAATTTCACATTTAGCTGCCATTTGTGTTAAACATCGGACTCTATTTTCAAACCGTATGCCCTCTCTGTTGGTGGATCGACATTCATCACATGATCATCGTCACTGGCGTCATTATTTGTAACCTAAGGTGGTTTACAAACCTGTTTTTATTCCATCTTCTTCAGTCCTTTAAATTTTCTGTGGTGTTATCTGACAGCAGAAAGTTGTGACTGAGAGATTGACAGCTAATATTAACCTAAAATCTGCATAGCACAAGAGACCGGTCGACATATGAACACACAACATGAATGCTTTTAAGAGCAAACAAATGCTCCCAGATGTATTTTTAGGTTGCATAGATTATATTTCAGGTATTTTTATTTTTGAGCCCTGTATATTTACAAGCCTTTATCTTCGTTTTCAGGTGAACCAGTGGCTGACCTGGCTTGAGACGGCTGAGGAAGAGGAGTCAGAAGAGGAAGCTGACTAAGAAACCAGACTAATCCTAGTACAACATTAATTTTCTGCTAAATGGCCTGCCTTGGGGGTTCTACACTCTTTTTGCAGTAGCTCACTCTGTTGACTAAAGTACTCTGCTGCTAGGCTCGTGAATTAAACAGCAATACCGTTATTGTAACATCTCTTAATGCGTTTGCTTGCGTCATAACCATTGTCAGGCTTTTTTAAAATCGACATCAGTTTCACATGTTACATCAACCACTGCTCTTTTTTTTTGTAGAAAAGGTGTTCGTCAGATCCTCCTCGTGGTATGCCTGGTTTAATTTGTGTGTTTGTTTCAGAAAAGAAAAACAGGACAAACCTCGCAGCGTCTGAGCAGCAGTGAAGCTGAGATCCTGGTTGTAATGGGCTTCATAGGTTACGCTGTAGACTCTTATTAGTGTTATTGTGGGTCGGTTGCAATATCCTTCAACCCTCGAGCATGATTGAAACATCTGTAAAACTGTAATCACTGTAACATTTAGCAGTCTTCATTTCTACCTCCTACCGAATGAGCATTTGTTAGTACAGCCTCTATGTCGGATTTCATGAATTACGATCTAGAGCATCTGCTTAGTAGTTTTGTTTTTGCACAACACACTACCTAATATCTCAGCTTGCAGTAGAGTTTAAGTGCTTTCCATTGAAGATGCCGAAATCAAGCTACTAGTGTCAACTTAATGCCTCTGCAGCCCCAGCCTTACTATAATGTTGTCTGCAGTGTGATCTACGAGTATAATTGAGATGTATTCTTTCTCTAATGGCAGTTGTAATGTTTCCAATCTGGTCCCATTGATCTGCTACAAATAATTCCAACTGTGATGGATTTTTTTTTTAACCTGCCTTTTAATGGGGCATTAAACGTAAATGGAACAAATCCTTGACACCCAAAAAGAGGAGAAAGGCTTTTGCCCTCGTCAATAAGAGGTTTACTTACAACCTTTTATTGACAGGTGTTTTAATTGTACCTGACTTGCATTTGCCCACTTTAACTGCGGTGCAGTTGTCAGAATTGAAATAACTTATGATCATGTCGTTGTAAGGCTGTTTAGTGCTGTATTCATCACCACTATTGCTGAATTTACAATAAAGAAAAAACTTGATCACTTAAGTCTGTCTTTTTTTCCTATTTTATTTTATATTTTTTTTAAATGTTGCACTAATATTTTTTTTCAATCAATTATAACATGAGGGAATATTGTATGGACCGTTTTTTTTTTTTAGGATTTATTTTTGCCTGTATTAGATAGGACCTTATTGCGACAGGAAGTGAAGTTAGTTAGAGGGGGGGTGGGGGTAGGTTAGGGAAATGACAACTTAATTCTTATGTTCAATCCACCTAAATTTAAGTTAATCGGTTTGTGTTGAGATGACATGAATAAATTGTGTAGAACCCTGCATTTTTTTTACAGTGTATTCTCTGTAATGTATTTACCAGGGGCAGACTAGCCATAGGGAGCACCGGGAGTCTGGCCTGCCCTCCCCTCTTCCCGTACCCGCATTCACCAGCTCTTCACTTATTGATCGCCGTAATCAACCATCCCCACCGCACACTTTTCAGTTACCGATCACCACAGTCCACAACATGACACAAACCCCCTACTCTGGCTCTTCACTTCACACACAACTCCACAACCCCCAGCTCCTAATTTACCAATCACTTGGGTGGTCAGAGGAACAATAACTTTCCCGACTGAAAATACAGTTTCAGTCTGCCCCTGGTGTTCACACTCATAGTTTGGTTGTATTAGTTTTTTTTATATATATATATAATGGTCTGGACCACAGAAGAAAAAATTGGTCAGATCTTTGGCATTTTATAAGCTGGAAAACAAAAATAAAAAAATAATCGCAATATATTTTGTGACTGAAGTGTTAAACATGCTGTGTGTGTGCGTGAGTGCTTGTGTGTATACGTATGTACGTACGTACGAAGATTGTTTTGAGTGTTTGGACGACAAATGTATTTCGTAGGTTAATTGTTTACAAAATTTAATGCAATCTACACTCAAAATATATATTTGCTGCGTGCACAAAATTTATATGAATTAACAATTCTTGGGATTTTTTGGAAGGACGACGTTATTCTTTTTACGTTCAGTCCACTCAAATTTAAGTTAACTTGATCGATTTGTGTTGGGACAACATGAATTGTGTAGAACCTTACATTTTTTTACAGTGTAAATATGTATTTACACTCATAGTTTGGATCTATTAGTTTTTTTATTTAATGGTCTGGACCGCAGAAGAAAATAAATAATCAGATCTTTGTCGTTTCATAGGCTAGAAAATACAAAAATTACTGCATTTATGATTTATATTTTGTGACTGAATGGGTTAAACATGCTCTCTTTGTGTTTGAACATGCAATGTTTTTCAAATATTAAAATACCGCAATGAAACGACACAATTCTTGATCTTTTTAGGGGGACAACTTAATTTATTCATTTTTTTTTAATTTTATGTTCAATCTACTTCAATTTTTTCAAATTAACTTAATTTGTGTCGGGACAACATGAATGAATTGTGTAGAACGCTGCATTTATTACAGTGTAAAGATTCACACAGTTTGGTTCTCCTATTTTGTTGTAATGTTCCGGACCACAGAAGAAGAAAAAAAATTCAGATTGTTGTCATTTTATAGGCTGCAAAACACAAAACTGCATTTGTTTAATATATTTTGTAACTGAACGCGTTGAAAATGCTCTTTGTGTGTGTGTAAATGTGATGTGTCTCTTTTTACATATTGATATACCGTACAGCTTGTTTTGTTTGTTGTTTGGGTGACAAATGTATTTTGTGTGTGAAATGTCAACAAAATTAATTTATTTACAAGTGATGATTACAAAATTAATTATTCTAAACCTTTTTTTCTCCTTTTTTCTTTTCCAATCAATTTATTTAATTATAACGTCAGGGAATACTATACAGATTGTTTTAATAGGATGACATGTATTTTGTAGGTTAAATTAAGACAATCTGCACTCAAAATATATTGTGCTGCTTGTACAAAATACTTATTTAAAATGAGCTGAAACAACAATTTTTGAGATGGGGGGGGGGGGGGGGGGGTTGCAACTTAACGATTATGTATCCACTTAAATTCTTTAAAAGTTAACTTTATCGATTTGTGTTGGGACAAAATGAATGGCTTGTGTAGAACCATGCATTTATTGTGTTAAGATGTATTCACATTCATAGTTTGGTTTTTCCATTATTTGGAATGAAATGATTTTAGGCTGGAAAACAAAATACAAAATAAAACAGAATTTGTTTAATATATTTTGTGACTGAATGAGTTTAAACATGCTCTTTGTGTGTGTGTTTCTACATTCGTCAGTGGAGTATTCCCAAAGAGCTTCAAATGTAAAAAGTTTAAAACGAGTCAAAACAGTGCCAGGTATTCCTGATGCAAACAAAAACTGCTGCAAGACAACATTTTGCAAGACCAATATTGGGCAACGCTATAATTATGACAACAAAAATGGGGGTGCTTGAGCACTCTGTTCATTTTATATTCGCGTTCTGACATGTCCTGTTTTTGATTTGTATACATGTCTTCAGTCTATGTTGTGTTCACATTTCAAATATGTAGTTTACCAAAGCATTTTTAATCAAGCCATGCCAGACAAATATGAACGCATCCTAAATCTTTTTTTTTATGTACACTAGGCTTTCACAACTATTCCTCATCTGTGGGGATCCAGAAATATTCCACTTTCCTGTTTCTTCTTGAAAATCCAGACTCGTGGGAATCTGCCAGTGGTGAGAGCTCTCTGAACTGGGCTGGACTGGTGTCCTGTCGAGCTCGTGGTGCTGCTACCCTAAACATCGCCCTGCTGAAGAGTGGAAATAAATAATCAAGGTATTTTTTTTAAGTTGTTTTAAATAGAATTCACAGTTGTTTAGCACTGATAAAATAAGACGTACCTCCCTGAACTCCTCTCTGAATCATCACTACTGAGGTCAGGTGTGGAGATGTACACTGGCTCTCCTTCCTGTTTGGTGCGTGTTTATTATCATTATTAAGCAACTAATATATTTAATATTCCTGTTTTTTTTTTTTTTTTTTGAAGATGTGTTGGAATGAGAGAAACCTTACCGTGAAGTTCCTTGGTGAGCCGTCTTGATTTTTTAGGATCTTAACCCTCTGGTCACTTTCAGTCACACACAGGAAGTAGTTCTTTATGTTAGCTTGACACTGAATTGAGATGTTAGCATGTGTTAATAGTGCCATCCATCCAGAATGAACATTTTTAAGATTTCTTTTAATTGATGGTGGATGTTTCTGTAGCTGAAGAGTTCAGATGTAAAGCCAAGGGTTGCCTGAAATGTTCATTTCACTCCAAAATGAGCATTTCTCTCAGCTTCCTATGCCTATGTTGAGTTATTTCATTTATTTCAATTGAACCCCTTTTATTCTTTTTGCAAAGCCTACAAACTGGAACCTGAAATTTAAAAAATGTTTGTTTTAAAAGAAAATTTCAGACAACTCTCCAAAGCTTTTGCATCTGAACTCTTTATCTTAAGGTTTTTTCATGCTACAAAATTGAGTTTACCCCAATAAATAAGTGAGGAGAAAACATTGAACAAAACTGTAATTAACTTTAATTAATTTGTATTCTTAAATTTAACCTAAACATGTTAGTTGACTATTCACTTATGGTAATTAATATAGCATTTTTCAAAGGGGATGTACTCATTTATGCTGGGCACTGTAAATCAATGCGTTTACTTATTGCTAATGAATTATGTAGTGTAACTTTATTTGTTCTGTATATATGACAATATTATTAGCAAATATTTCCGAGGTGATGTTAAACAGTACAATAAAAATTTTCACAGTATTTCCGATGATATTTTTCTTCTGGAGAAAGTCTTATTTCTTTTTAGTTTGTCTATTTAACCTAATTAACCTAGTTTAGTCTTTAAATTGCATTTTAAGCTGAATATTAGTATCTTGCAAAATAACTATTGTGTTGTCATCATGGCAAAGAGAAAAGAAATTAGATGTTACGTAGAAATTCGGTACTAAACTAGAAAGTCTAAAATGTGTTTGGGAAATATTTGAAAAAGAATTAATGTCACTTATAATTTTGCCTTCTATCTATTCATATATAATCAGCTAAACTAAAATAAAAGCTATAGCATTTGACCCATATACTCTCAATGGCCACTATATTAGGTACACCTGTCCAACTGCTGTTAATGGTAACTTCTATTCAGCCAATATCATGGTAGTATATCAGAAACTGCTGATCTACTGGGATTTTCACGCACAAGCATCTCTAGGGTTTACAGAGAATGGACAGAAAAAGAGAAAATATCCAGTGAGCGGCAGTTCTGTGGGTGCAAATGCCTTGCTGATATCCGAGGAGAATGGCTAGACTGGTTAGAGCTGATCGAAAGGCAACAGTAACTCAAATAATCTCTTGTTACAACTGAGGTACACAGAAGAGCATCTCTGAACGCACAACACGTCCAACCTTGAGGTGGATGGGTTACAACAGCAGAAGACCACACCGGGTGCCACTAAGAACAGAAGACAGACTACGATTCACACAGGTTCACCAAAATTGGACAATACAAGATTGGGAAAACGTCTGGTCTGATGAGTCTCGATTTCTGCTACGACATTCAGATGGTAGTGTCAGAATTTGTCATCAACAACATGAAAGCATGGATCCATCCTGCCTTGTATCACAGTTCAGGCTGGTGGCATTGATGTACTGGTGTGGGGGATATTTTCATGGCACACTTTGGGCCCATAAGTACCAATTGAGCATAGTGTCAACACTACAGCTTATCTGAGTAATATTGCTGACCATGTCTATCCCTTTATGACCACAGTGTACCCATCTTCTGATGGCTACTTCCAGCAGAATAACACGCCATGTCATAAAGCGCAAATCATCTCAGACTGATTTCTTGAACGTGACCATGAGTTCACTGTACCCAAATGGCCCCCAAAGTCACCAGAACTCAATTCAATACAGCATCTTTGGGATGTGGTTTAACAGGAGATTGGCATCATGGATGTGCAGCCGACATATCTGCAGCAACTGCATGATGCATTCATGTCAATATGGACCAAAATCTCTAGGGAATTTTTCTAGTACCTTGTTAAATCTATGCCACAAAGGATTAAAGCAGGTCTGAAGGCAAATGAGGTTCCAACCCAGTACTAGTACGATGTACCTTATAAAGTGGCCGGTGAATGTATATTATTTATTTGGGGAAAAACATTCAATAACAATTAATTTTAACTACAGAACACAGGAAAAAGTGCAACTACTGCATTCTTAATTTAAAGTGCATTTTTATATTGGATTAAGTGAAGAAATATGGTTTCTGGTTTTAACCTGTTTTATTAAATTTAGCTTAAAGCAAAAGAAAAAAAATGAAACACCTAGGAAAAAAAATAATAATAATTTTGTTCTAGTAGTATTTTTACTTTAAACCAGCAGGTTGTCCAAAGCAAAACTATACTTTGTTGTATGATCAAACAAATGTGTGAACTGTCCCTAGTTTAAGGGTAAAAAAGATAAATCCAATATAAAAATCTACATTTTACCAAAGTATAAAAAAGAATGGTCTATATAGTAAACAATATTTTTCTTTGTGTGAATGTTTTTTACTATATTTTTTATTTAGATTAATTTAAGTTTTAAGGTTTGAACCAAGGTTAAATTATACTTTGAGATTAATTAAAACATTTATTACAGTTTTTTTTTTTAAGTTGGATTAAATTATAAATTTTTCAGTGTATAGCAATTTTTACTGATGAACACGAAATGAGTTTTTTTGACGAAGGACTCACTGCTTTGTTCTGTCTCAGAGACTTGAGCTCCTCCTGGGCTCTGATGACTTCAGCCAGAGTGTGATGTTTCTCTCTCCAGCTCAAACACTCTCTGGTTCGCTCCTGTCTCTCCCGCTCAGATAAATGCCTTTCCTGCTCAGCCTCCTGCTGGGCTTTATTGGCCCTCTCTCTCTGCTCTTCAGCAACTAGAGCTCTGCGCCTGGAGTTCACTTCCCTACAAGAGAAAGAAGGACATTGACAGACAGTAAAATGAGCCACACTATATATAGGGTTCCCACTCTTTCATGAACAGCAGATTGAAGGACTTTTTAAAGCACCATTAATTTTCAAATCGTTTTTCGTAATTCCAGTCCAAGTCTAGTCCGTTTTTCGTAATTCCAGTCCAAGTCTAGCATATGTAGTGCCATGAAACTCCTTACAGTTCTTAACATTTCACTTACAATTAATATGTACATTAAAATGTCCTTCTGCAGGTTATTAAAATGAGTGATGATGATGATGATGATTATAATGTAATTTTCAAGAAAAAATTCCTCTTTAATAAAATGTTTGTTTCAGTATTGGTAATATTCAAATGTGGATTCTGAAATATTGATAATGTGCATTATTTGTCATAGTTTATGCACAAAAGTTAAAGATTTTTAAATTAAGAATTAATTATTTTAAGTTCCTTTTGAGAGCAGCACAATACAATTTCTGAAATACCATCATAAAACTCATTTTAAAGACCTATGTTTGTTTTTGAGTACTTTCCAGGCCTTGAATCCACATCGTCTGACATTTAAGTAGACCTACTTCAAGAAGAGTAGGAACCCTGATTATAATAACCCGAGTTCTGATTTAATCACAGTGCTTGAATTTGCAAAGAGAAATGGCATTACTGGACACTCTTGAGCTTACTTTTCCATTATCTTCACATTTTCCTCCGTCAGCTCCTTGAGTTTGTGTCGTAAGGTGTTTCTGTCATCTTCCAGTATTCTGTTTTCCTCCAGGACAGCCTGCTTTTCTCCGGAAACCCTGTCTAGTTTCAGCTTGGTCTCGAAGTAGTTCTTTTCAGCTTGTGCTAGAAGTAGCTGGACATCATTGTGCTGTGGATCACAGAGCCATGATAAGAATGGCAGCACAATATTGGCAAATATTTGTAGCATTACATTTTTCTGCAATATTTAGGCCTATATGCTTGCTGAATGAATCTAATTTCTGTATTTCACATAATTGTACATAGATTGGGATTATATCTGCATAATTTGAAAAAAATAAATAAAAGTATACATGAATACAACAGAACAAAGAGACATGAAATAAACCATGTTTAAAAGTCTAAAAATATCAAGGTATGGAAATTTTATAACAAAATGTAAAACTAGAACCTAAAGTTCATTGATAAACTTTGATGTTGGCTTGAGAAAGTCAAACATTTATGGCATCGTTAGGTGGTTGCTAAGCAGTTGCTAAATGGCAATGCTCGTGTACATGTTTGATCAAATGCTAATACTTAGTAGGCATTTCTAGCATATGTTATTGCATTTAGATAATCATTCAGAGCATGTAGCTAATCGTTATTAGCACTTGGCTTCCATTATCATTGTTACCATGCATAGTACACAGAAAGTCCCATTTGCTAGCATGAGTCAAACAAGCCAATGCCCAGGTCCCTACGATGTTCTGATGTAGAGATAGTGCTATTTTTAAATGGTTGCTAGGTTATACTGTTTTATTGCTATGGGGACATTTGACAGGTTAGTGATGATACATCAAAGCTTCTTGACAATATGAGTGATCTTAATTAACCCCGATGTTTCTATGACAGTCTTTATGAGTGTCAAAAACTGGACTTTAACATTATGTTTTCCTGGTGTTGGGTTGCGGCTGGAAGGGCATTCGCTGTGTAAAAAATGCTGGATAAGTTGGCAGTTCATTCCGTTATGGCGACCCCTGATTAATAAAGGGACTAAGGGAATGAACATTATGTAAATGGCTTGCTGTATTTTTTTGAAAATACAATGCTTAATAAGTGTGAAGGTGATACATGCAAAAATGGCTTGCCATATCAGTAAAAAAATATGGAGTTTAAGTCAAAAATGGCTTGCCATATTTTGAGAAAAATAATGCTTAAAATTATTTATTGGAAAACTATAAGTCTGATAAACCTTAGAGATATAGCAACAAAATCTACCGCATAATACAGCTTTTGGCCAAATTTGGGGCTTGTATAATTTTTTTTATATGCCCGGATTATAAAAATTTTATATTTAACATTTTTTATTAAAAAAATGATAAGTCTTACAGGCATGAGAAGATATAGCAACAATCTTGAATGCAGAAGGCACATTTTGACCACATTTGGGCCCTTTTGGGATGAACGGAAAGACCAGCATCAAAACATAACTTATCAGCATGTGCTGCATTTTTCAGCAGGGTCTTCATTGTATAAATAACTGAATACTAGCCCATTAATCTGTGTTACTGCTTCAAAATTTAAAGCTTCTTGGTTTAATACGCTTGACATCTGTATAAGTGTAAATTGTATAAGTTGGTCTTAATTTTTATTTTTTTGCAGTGTAGGCCAACTGACAACAACTTATTCAGATAACGTAACGTAAATAGCTTAACAATTATGTAAAATGTTGGCTACATTTAATAATAATTAGAATAACATTATTGTTATATCGCTCAGCTTTAATACTCCTATTCGTGTATACCTCAGTCCTGAGCAGTTGCAGCTCCTCTCCGAGCTGTGTTTTATCAGCCACTGCGAGCTCTTTCTGCTGCCGGTTGTCCAGCGCTCGGCTCTCAGCCAGCGCTCTGCTTTTTTCCGCCTCTGCTCGAGCCCGATCCGCATCTTCAGCGGCCCTGGAGCACAGTGTCGCCCTCTGCTGGCTCACATGCAGCTTCTGTTTCAGCTGAGATAACAGATGACAGAAATGTTTATTTGTACTGTTTGTTTGTGTTGTACTTCTGCATTTCAGACCTCTTTAACTTGAGCCTGGAGCTCCTGGTTGAGATTCCGCAGGTTTCTCATGGTAAGTTCACTCTCAGTCCTCATCATGATCCTTTCCATGTGGATTTCGCCAGACAGATACTTGTTCTCCTTTTTCAGATCCTCACATTCCTGAATATCCACACAGATATAATGAGACTTAGAGACAGCGTTTATCCAGCAAAAAAAACCACCAAATATTGTTATATATTTTTTCAACTGCTGCATATTTTTATAGGGTTTTTTGTCGTAGTGTAATGTGTATTTTAAATAGCGCATTTATTGTGTATAGCGGGGGCGTAAATTGGGCTAGACACAATTTACTGGGGCACGTGCCCCAGTAAATGCTTTGTTTGAGATATGGTTTACTTCACATGCAAAGTGTATTTATTGAGAGTAGTAATCCCAGAATTAAGAGGTTATTCTCTGTTCAACCGAACCAACGCTGGTGAAAGCAATGTAGTTTAATCAAAAAGCAAACTGACAAATCTATGTATGTGTCAAGAAAACCATACCCGCGCACCTCACACACCACTCCTCCGCTGCTCTTCTCCCAGTGCAAGTCCCGTTTGTTAACATGCATGGCAAAACAATTACTTGCTGCTCACGCGCCGCTCATGTGGCGTAACAGCCTTTTATGTGGAGGTGTCGGCACATTTGACAAAGCTAAAGTTTAAATAATATGAGGGTGATCTTACTAATAAGCATGCGTCCTGATGTGTGTGTATATATATTCCACCACCAGTGTGCAGCATTCACTTGGATGATGCAACGGCAGCCACAGGACAACAGCGTCATTGTGCTCACAACACACCAGCTATTGGTGGAATGAAGAGGCAGTGATAGAGTCAATTCAGTGGATGGGGATGATTGGGAGGCCATAATCGGTTAGCGCTGATGAAGGGAATTTGGCCAGAACACCAGGGTTGCACACCTACTCTTTTACAAGAAGTGCCATAGGATTTTTAATGACCACAGAGAGTCAGGACCTCAGTTTATTGTCTTATTTGAAAGACGGTACTCTTTGACAGTACAGTGTCCACTTCACTTTAATGGGGCATTAGGACTTACACAGACCAGAGGTTGAGCACTCCCTGCTGGCCTCACACCACTTAACAGCAACCTAGTTTTCACATCTGATCTCCAATCTAGGTTGTGACCAATCTCACCCCTGCTTAGCTTCAGTGAGTAACCATTCTTGGGCTGCAGGGTGATATGGCTATGGCTGTTATTTTTTTTTTTTTTTTTCATTTAATATTATTACTATTCTATAATATTTATATAGCATATTATGTTCAAGCACAATTAAGTGCAGCAATGGAAAAAATTAATTCTCAGTTTATCTGAGTATTTACTATTTACTAAGTGTTTTTTAGGTATGGGTTTGAGTAAAAATCTTTGATAACATATATTTCCAAATTTAAAAAAAAAAAAAGTTTCATTAAAGCATTATCTTTTTTTCATGAAATGACAATTGGTCCATTTTGTTGTCTAAATTAACATTGCATTGACTGAAAAACGAGCATAGCCCATTTCTGTTATTATTATATACAAAATAAATCCACTAATTGACAACATTAATATTTGTAATTTGAAAGAAATGTCAGTCACGACTAGTTTATTGTTGTATTATTATATAATGTATAACTTTTATATTAATAATCTTTTATATATTTATTCTATTGTTTGTATTTTTTCATGTTGTTACTGTTTAATTTATCATATTTATTGGTATTTTACATTTCCAACTATTTTGGTGAGTTAATCAATTAGTGGTGTTTAAAACAACTGTACAAACAAGGGTGAAAAAGAGTACAGAAAAGTAATATTTAAGTAAAAGTACCATTGCTTGCCCAAAACGTAGTGCAAGCAAAGTAAAAGAATCTGTTGTAAATATTACTCAAAGTATGAGTAAAAAGTAGACCTTTCAAAAAGAGTGGTAATCACGCTGTGAAGGGCTGATGTATTTACATGCAGTTTGTACATGTGTGTGAAAACGTAACATTCTGTAGTACATGTAGCTACTGTTTAATGCCGTCAAGCGATTTCAGTCATCATACCTTAAACATCCTTTATCTTCTCATCGGTGACATGCAGTTGAAACAGTCATTTACACAGACATTTTTGTTATTATACACAAAATAAATACTCTAAATGACAACAGTATTATTTGTAATTTGAGAGAAATGATAGTCACATAAACAGTTTATAGTTTTATTATTAAATAACATATTACTTTTATATTAATAATATTTTATATATTTTTCCATTGTTGGCACACTGTAAAACCTGTTAAGTTAACTGAAACTGTTTGAGGAAACCGATTACAGCAAATGGTTTAAGTTTTGACATGAAATGGTTTGAGAACTTTAAACTTATACATATTTTGAGCCATATACATTATTTGTTTTGATATTGTCAAATATTTAGAGTAGTAGTAATTTTTAAATATTTTAAGTTCAGTTATAAAATCTGTATGAGTTCGGTTAAAAGAAACAAAGTCCAGACAATATAGCTACACAAATGGTTTGATATTGCCATTAGAGTTAGGTTAACACAAAAATTATAATTATTTAATTCATAACTCATTAGATTTGAATTCTGCATAATATAGTCAGTTTATGAGTTACCATAACTTTTTTTCATTTAGTCAAAGTAACTTTTTCAAAATTATAAGTTATACTAACTGATTTCATTTAGTGATTTTCTGTGTTTTACAGTGCATGTTTTCACGTTGCTACTGTTTAATTGATTGCTTTGATGTTTACTAGTATTTTATGAAGTAAACTTAACATTTCCAACTATTCTGATCGGTATAATCAGATAGTGGTGTTTAAAACAACTGTACAAAAACACCATCAGTGTCAGGAAAGTAAATAATATGAGAATTTTTGGGTAATATGAGTTTTTGGCAAATCCAAAAAAAGAGCACACTTGGGGAGAAAAAAAATGGTTCTTGCTCTGAAAATGGCTCAACTAAATAAAACAGTCAAACTAAATTTCCCAGTGTTCTTAAATTTGCAGTTCATTTCAGAATACTGTTAAGTTAAAACGTGAATTTTTAATGAGTGTGTGATCCAGGCCTAATGCACTGACTCTTCCCACAGCATTGTCCTAATTTTCTTCATCATGTCAGCACGTACCTTCCTCTTCCTCACAAGTTCTCCCTGCAGGTGGTTGATCTGCATGAAAGAACCGCTAGTGGTGAAAGCACTGACAGGTCGTACTGCTCGTACGGGTCTTCGTGGAAGGTGCGTGGGTTTCGAAACTCCTTTAATCTCCTCAATGCTTTCAAATTGGCCTCCCATGTTGCTGCTGCTGTGCGACAGGGACCTAAAACCGCTGTCTGAAGCAGGGCTCTTCAATGAAGCCAAAGCCTGGAGCTCTCCGTGAGATGTAGCCCTTAGGGTCATCCTTCTGGCTTGATGCTGTAACCAGCTTCAATCTTCAAATTATGATCTGCTGTCAGATGTTTTTTTACACCTGCCAACTCAGAGTTCCTGTAGAAGTGAAGGCAAGTAAGGAGACTGACCAACATCCAACCCAGTTGAATTATTGATGAGGTAATGTTGCACCAGCTCACAGTAACTCTACACTACCACAGTGGTTGAAACTCAGCTCACCTCATCCTTGACTAATTGAACCATTGCACATTCTCGGAAATGATCTGGTTAGGGTTAACAGCAAATTGGTAATGATGCCAGGACTGAGGACCGACTAAATATTAAGCAAATCCCAGTGCCAAGATGCTGGGGTGATATTTTGATCCTTATTTATAGACTAATCTTTTGGAAATTCCCAATTTTATTGTACACCAGACATCCGATGACTTGATCATTCAATACTAGCATCATTCAATCAGTGCTGTACAAATTATATAGCCAAGTTCACCAACAATTTGTTTCAAGCACTACTAATATGTTGCATTAATGACCTCTAAAATACTTGATTCTGATTGGTCAGTTCTGTTTGTTCATCATCATTCATGGTAACACAATACATATAATGGTTTGTGTTACTTTGTCTCTCATTATCACACCTCCAATGGTCACACTAGCCTTGTAAAACATTGGCATTTTTTACAATTCAGTCTAATCAATTCATATGCCATCAAACATGACTCACTTCCATAATTTAGTAAAATTGCATTCACATCAGAAATGAGTTGTACTATTTTTTTTTTTTTAATTGTTCTCTAAATCTGACAGAATCAATATCCGTCCTGACCACAATCTGGCTATTGTTTTTAGTAATTTTGATATTACGGATGCCCTCTCTCTTACTTAACAGCAAACTCTGATGGTTGACATGATTGCAGCCAAAAAGATAATTTTATTCTATTGATAATCTCCACAGGCACCCTGTTATCAGAGATGGTTGAACTATACATGCACAGCTAGCGTTTTTCAGCCAATGATGAACTTCCAAAACATTTATGTGACTATTTTCAATTTCATAAAGTTCCTTTTACAGTATTGATGTTGTAATGTAATTCCAGTACATTCAGTTAAATAGACTTAAGCATCCATTTGGTTGTTAATGTGTAAAAAGAGAAGGCGGCATCATTAGCAGCTGGCTAGTGCAGAAACACCATTGAAAATACTGGGGTTACATTGATTTCCATATTTTAAAGACATGGTGTGGAAAAATATAATTTAATGCCGTGCATCTTGTTTTGTCTGATACCCACTTTATATTGTATCTCAGCCATGCTGTTGAAGATCGCTGTTTTTCTTTAAAGAAATCAGATCTTAAAGGAAGCGATTTTATGGGATGACAATTCATCTGAAGCCCTGGGGCTGGCTGAAATTAAAAGTCTGTGTGCATTTACCCCATTACACATATGATCTGTATTACTGTAGGGCAGTTATGCAGTACATCACTGTATTTAAAATTTGCATTGTAAAAAAAGATCCAGGATTTAGGTTTTAAGTTATTTAAATATGCAGATGATATGGAACTTGTTGGCCGGTTGACTAAAACAGGAACAGAGGGAGATACCTATATGTACTTTATTTATATACATTTGCTTCAAAATTGGTGTAAAAGAAGTTCACTGGACATATATTTTAATAAAACCAAAGAGATGATAATTAGAAATAGACTAGTTGTTACTGAAGGGATGAAATCTTTGGTCCTTCAAGTACATGAAATAGAGATTTTAAAATATTTAGGAACATTTATTGATAGTAGATTGACATTTGCTGGACATGTAGAATGTATTTTTAAAAAGCAATGTCATGACTATATCTTAGGAGGTTGCAACAATTTGATGTGAGTCAAGATGTTTTGTAGAAGGTATACAAGAATTTGGATGAAAGTGATGTGAGTTTTAACATGATTGTATGGCATGGGTGGTTGCCAATTAGGGAAAAGCAAAAACTGTGTAGAGTAGTAAAGATTGCAAGTGCAATTGTAGATAAAGCACAAAGACAACTTAAGAAAATTCATTTAATGAAAATTAAACAAATCAGACGTCATTGTTGAAGATTGTTCCCATCCCCTTAATATAAAGTTTTAGCTATTGCCATTAAAAAGGCGTTTTAGGCAACCTTAAGTAAAAAAAAGGGTGTATCAAATGTCCTTTGTGCGACTGCCGTTAGAATTTTAAATACTGGTTATTGTTTGGGTAATTAAGTTTTTAGTGTGGTTTATGTAATGACATTGAATGTATTTGTGCTGCCAGTTTCTGTGAAATCTGTAATGTGAACGCTGATGTGGTTGTGTGGTGAAGCCAAAGATACATTTCCACTTGTGGACAATAAAGAAAGTAAAATAAAAAAGTACTGTATTTTTACAGTAAAAATATACAATACTGCAAATAAATATACAGCAAAACAGCCTGATAAATGCTGCTGTGAATATATATAGTGTTTTTGCTGTAATTGATTTACAGTAAGTTACTTTATTTCTACAGAAAATTGTTAACCATTTATAGCATGTATTGTCAATGTTGTTATTCTATACATCTATTTTTTAGCAGTAATGTTAAATTTTTTATAAATGTTAAATAATATATACAGTTGAAGTCAGATTTATTGGCCCTACTTTCAATTTTTTCCTTTTTTTAAATATTTCCCAAGTAATGTTTAAGAGAGCTTGGAAATATTTACAGTACGGTATATGTACGGTGTGTATTAATAGTGCTAGTGTGAAAGCTCCTAAAATAGACAACTTAACGGCTTTACTATTTTTCAGAACTGTTGTGCATTGTGTCTAGAAACAGTCTACCTCAATAACACCAGATCCTTTGTGAGATTGATTCCCTGTAGTTTGAAGCAAGGAAACTCAAACCCATCCATTGTAAATGCATTATTCAAGCAGAATGAAGCAGCACAAATAGGACAAGTTCCACTGGCCCAGTTAGCTTTGTTTGTGGATTCGTGATAGTAATCATGCACAACTATTAAATGGGGATTTGCCATGTTAACAAAAGCAGAATTACACTGGTTATGTAAGTGATATTAGAGAAGTAGAAAAAGACTCCTCAAATAACAACAAAAAAAAATGCAAGCCTAATGGTTAATTTGCTGGGGTCTCAGTACATTGTTTTTATGTTCTAACTCAGGAATTCAAAGAAGAGATGAAATCTGCAAAGCGGCACAGGATGCTTTGAATAATTTCCTGTACTCTCTCGTGTGGCTTCATCCAGAGGAGAGGCTTTCTATGTTTGTCTGTCAGCTCTTCTCTGTGGACTAACATAGTCTGGAATTCACTGTTCTTGGTGTCAGGGAGTCTTGCAATAGGATTGCACTTGGCTGGCTGCTGTGAAAGTGACGTGTTAATGAGCCTTTCTGTTTATTTAGCCTTCAGAATCACACACAAATATGGCCTGCAGAAGGAAGCCTGACTTCTGCATATGTCACGTATTAGGCTTATAAATGTCCTAGTACAGTGAGAGGAAAATGCATTAGTTTGGATAACCAAAACATAATTGACATCACAATGTGTTCATTTTTATAGCATAATCTTGTCAGGCATATTAAAAACCTCTAGGAAAAACCGTGCAGGGACAGAAAAAATAATGTGATATGTAATCTGAAATTTTAAACTTTTATAAATTTTTATACCATTGTTTTTCAAACCAGTGTGGCTTTACCTATTTTGTCAATATAAAGTTTATATAAAATTTTAAAATAACAACAAAAAAAGGCTCAAAATGACCAATCTTTTATTTAAAATTAGAAAGAAATGTTAATAGACCTATACAGAAAAAAAATTAATAATAATATAGAATATAATAACAACAATTTAACATAACAAATTTGAGCATTGGACAATCAATGTAAAAAATATATATATATCTAAATTAGCTGTTTTCTGTATTTTGTCAATCATGTTTTGTAATATATACAGTCAAGCCTGAAATAATTCATACACACACTCCCTGTGGTAATAATTTCAGGCTTGACTGTATATATTATAAAACATGAATGACAAAATACAGAAAACAGCTAATTTAGATGTATTTTGTTTTTGTTTTACAATTTCCTTTGAGGATGTAAAGTTTGAAAAGTGACTTTTATTGACATGTTCTTTATAGTCTGTATTGGTGTGGTAAATAACGGTACAAAAACTTTAAATGTATAATAGTTCACTTAATAATGAACATTCATCACCTTAGAATTATAAGGTTCTGTCTGTCATTTTTGTCAAAATTGAGTTATTCATATATTCTTATTAAATGACAACTTATTTACATTGTATGATTTTTTTTAAGTTATTTGTTTATTTTTTTTTTTAGAATTTTTTATTTAAAAAGCAAAAAAGGTTTTAATTACAAAGTTGAACTCTAGCTTGGCTCTATAAGGTTCTTTCTGTGAGCCAATCAGTATTTCAATTGCACACACAAAGACCAATCAGGATCAGTTTTCCTTGTCTTTTCGCTGGACTGCTTCATTGACAGGGGGAAAGACCAGAAAGAAACACAAAATCAGAGTCAACTAAATGCGCACCACTGAAAAGATGTGTGTAAACGTGATGATTTAGAAGCATTTTTATTTTTTTGACATTGAGATGAAATGTTACATTTCACATTGTTAAAAAAGAAACAGTTACTAAAAAAAGTTAATGTATTAAATGTGAAATATTTTTATTTGTGTATATATAGTGAGTGAAACATTTTTCATTGTTTGTTAAACAACTCATTTGCTCATTGTCTTTAAATTCCATATTAAGCCTTAAACAGCAAATACTTTATTCATGGGGCAAGTATTTCATTCATGGGGCTGGTAATTCAATGAATGTAATTCATATAAAGCATATAATTCAATAAATATTGCCATATTAATTACAGAAAATGAACATCTGCACTGGACACAATATTTAGCACAGCCTTGTATGCTTAATTTGAACAAGAAATACTATTCCTCTTAAAACATTAAATAAATAAGTGCTAATTTAACTTTGTCAAGCATCAACATATTACAACATATTACATATTGCAACAACATAAATTTTCTATTTTTTTATTAAATTAATAAGCAGACTGTTTGCATATCTTGAAAAGTAATGTTTTAATTAATGATCTGCCAGATAGATCCTTATAATTCCGGGCAGAAAATGGATTTTTAGCATTAGAAGCTTCCATCTGCATTTTCCTGTTTGTTTTACACCAATTTGCAATGTAAGATAATTTTGATCATTTACATTTAGAGTACATTTAGTATCTCTGTCATGTTAATGTATGAAAGAGAACTGTTACACACATATTGTTTGTTATACGGAATGCAAAACCTTGAAGCAGAATATCTCAAAATCATTCCAGTAGAACCTTAAAAATCCAAGCGACATATTTCATCTCTGTTTACTACTCACTGTTGGGTGCTCAAGTGGTTCCGAACCACAAAAGAAGATAAGAAAGCTGAAAACGTGAAATCATTGCCTTCCATAGGAGAAAAAAAATCCCAAATACTATGAAGTTTTCCAGCTTTCTTCAAAATATCTGCTTTCGTGATCAACAGAAAAAAAAAAAGTCATAAAGGTTTAAGTCAAGAAAATGTACTTATACATCTTTCTGAAACTTGGAACATAATTCAGGTCTGAAGGGGTTAACATAGATATTTTTACGGGGCATACCTAATAAATCCAGAAAAATTCACCTGAAGGATTTTCAGGTGATCTTTTTTTTTTCATATTTACATAAATCATATATCTGTATTTGTAGCATATATGCCTAATAGAAGACCAGCAATGGCACTTTCATAGCTGCTGGAAGTTGCTTACTCTTCCAACTTGTCCAGAATGTCGACATATGCATGATACGTTGAATGGATTTTAAGATTGTTGCTACATAACCACAGGAAGCAAATGTTTTTAAATTGTCCTCTGCCCCAGCTGTGTGAAGGTCATCTTACAGATCATCCTCAACCTCCTGTTTCCTATTTTCGCTGCTCTCTTTCTGCAGCATCATCAGACTTTGTGTGCTCAAGCCTTTAGAAGGTTTTGGTGGCATGTTCAGCAATCATGGCTACAGTCTGCGTAGCATTTTGTGCACTGTTCTTCTTCACTTCCAGCACAGTCTGTCTAGACGTGGGTGAAATCCAAGGTAGGTTTCTCTCTCTCTCTCTTTTTTTTTTTTTTTGTTCATTTAAATGCATTATCAGTTCACGTTTGAATAAGATCATATTTTGTTGCTTGATTTTAGTCCCCCCGCTAAATGATGGAGTTTCTGGAGTGTTTTTAATTCAAACCAAGACCAGCACGTACAGTTTTGATGCCATCACAGCCAAAGAGGCATGTGAGGCTATTAAAATGAGGATTGCCAAAAAGACTGAAGTGGAGACGGCAAACAAAAATGGATTACAGACATGCAGGTAATGCAGAATTCAATAAAAGACTCTAGTCAATAAATTAGACTGTTATAAGTATATTTGTGAAATCAATCTGCTTTTGGCTAATTAGTTTGATTGAATTAATTTTATTCCTTTGCATTAACGTTTATTATTAATATTTAAATATAATATGGATCTTATAATTGTATAATTGTCAAAACGAAATCTACACTGCACTTAATTTTATACCAAAGGACTGTCAAGCACAGATATCTAACACTATAGTATAAATGTTTTATAATTTATTTGAAATCTTACTTTTTAATTGTAACTGTTTTGTATCTTTGTTGACTTTTATTACAAATAATCGACCAGTCTCTTTAGGAATTTACAAAATAGAACAGTCAATTATTGCTCTTTAAAATTATTTGGTTACTTACTTGTTTCTGCATTTGGTGGGATTTTTTAATTGTCCAAAACTGTCCAAACTAGGGCCTGCAGGCCAAAGCTGGCCCATGGTAACCTTTGATTTGACCCGCCATCCCATCTAAGAGAAGAAAAAATTGATGGGGAGGGTTTTGAGATAGGCAATTCAAATTTAATGTAGCCCTTTGTTTGTTTGTATGATTGTTTTTATTGTTAAAAGCTAACTAAAATTAAATGTTTCAATTAAATGGTGTAAATTAATTACATTTTGTTTAAATGTACAGTTGAAGTCAGAATTATTAGCCCCCTTCTGAATTTATTTCCCAAACAAAGTTTAACAGAGCTATAAAATTTTCACAGTATGTCTCATAATATTTTTTTATAACATTTATTTTTTTTAACATTTTAAGGTCAATATTATTCGCCCCTTTCAGCTATATATATATATATATATATATATATATATATATATATATATATATATATATATATATATATATATATATATATATATATATTGATAGGCTACAGAGCATTGTTATACGGTAACTTGCCTAATTAGCCTAACTTGTGTAGTTAACCTAGTTAAGCCTTTAAATGTCACTTTAAGCTGTATGGAAGTGTCTTGAAAAACATCTAATAAAATATTATGTACTCTCATTATGGCAAAGAAATCAATTATTAGAAATGAGTTATTAAAACTATTTAGAAATGTGTTGAAAAAAAATCTTCTCTTCGTTAAACAGAAATTGAGGAAAAAAATAAACAGGGGGCCTATTTATTCTGACTTCAACTGTACATACTGTCACCCAACAATGCAAAGACTTTGGTGAGCAAATCAAGTCAAAGGCAGATTCTGCTTGTATTCAGCATTGTACTCCACTGTTTTGTTTTTTGCAATTAGTTATAATTTAAAAAGTTATACTGCATTAGATAATACAATTTAAGGTCATATTTACTATTTATTTTGAAATATTGGGAATAAATTAGGAAATAACCCATGGCAACTTTAATGTAATATAGTTTGGTATATATACCTTCGGCCCACCGCTCTCAATGTTATTTGTTTTTTGGTCCTTTGTGCGAAAAAGTTTGGGCTCCCCAGGTTTATACACTGTAAAAAGCGATTACTAAAAAAAACTGAGAAAACCCTTTGCCTTAAAAATGACAAGTTGAGTTTACTTTAAAAAAATGTAAGCATTTCTGGTTTAACTTAAAACTGTTAAGTACATTTAACCTAATTTTTTAGAATTTTACACAGTTGATTTACTTAATAGTTTTAAGGCAATGAGCTTACTTACTTTTTAACTAATAGCATTTTACAGGGTATATAAACTCAAATTTAACAAATGGCATTTTACAGGGTATATAAACTCAAATTTAACAAAGCTAACTTAAATGCTTTCCAATGATTGTCCCAACACAGATAGAATAAGTTACTTGTTTTTTACAAATTGTTGATTGAACATAAAAAGTTAAGTTTAGCTAAAAAATTGTGTTGATTAAGCTTCTTTTAAAAAAGTAGTTTGAACAAGCAGCATATTTTTGAGTGTATATGTGTTTATATGTTTATATGTATCAATGTATGTTAAAATAAAAATGCAATATCATGGTTTCACACAGGTTTGGTTGGGTTGAGGAGCAAATTGCAGTTATTCCTCGAGTTGAGAAAAACGAAAATTGTGGTAAAAACAATGTAGGTGTTATCACTTGGAGAGCTGAGATCAGTAGAAAGTTCGATGTCTACTGTTTTAAACCAGCAGGTAATTCTATATATTCTTTGTCAATGTCTAAATTATCTGAGATTTAAAAATTGACTTTGAAAGAAACTATAATATCCTAATGTTCAAGCATGTCTCTCACATGACTCAGATCCTGATGGATCACTTGAAACAACCTCAAGCAGGCCTCAAACTACAACAGGAGGAAGAACACAATCAAAAAACCATTATTCCACTGAAACAACCCATCCATCATCCACAAAGTCAAGCACTTCTCCTGTCTCCACATCCAGATCCTTTTCTCCTAACACATCCACCCAATCCACTTCCTTTTCTTTCGACACTTTCCTCACAACATTTATAACAGTTAGCCTTTCTAACATCATTGACAGCTCCCAAACAACAATAAACCCTCCATCTCTTTCATCTACAAGTTCTCTACCTAAATCCTCATCTTCCTCTCATTCAACCTCTCAGTTTCTCCTGCAGCAAACTTCAGCTTCAACAACAGATGATCATCCTGCACAGTCCCAGACCACTACACCCAACAGACTGTCACTTAGAGGTAGTTTTTTTTTTTTTTAGAGCACAACTCTTTACCAAATGAATCACTTAATGGATTACTTTTACCACTATTTTGTTATTTTCTTATATATTTCAGCTGCTTCCAAAACATTTGTCATCATTTCTGTTGTGCTACTACTTTTGGTGGCAGCAGCAGGAGCAGCTTGGTATCTCAAAATGTAAGTTTTCTTTTTTGATATATATATATATATATATATATATATATATATATATATATATAGAGAGAGAGAGAGAGAGAGAGAGAGAGAGAGAGAGAACTTTAGTTATTTACCTTGTTTTTTAACCACTTTCCCCATTTCAGAAATAAAACAATTAAATGAGGGCCTATTTTTTTCTATTTACAACAATGAATACAATATTTATTTTAATTAGAGAGATGACTGAAAACATGTATAACATTCACGTTTTACTGTCCCACATAGCAAAATATCTCTGGCCCAGCTCTGGCCCAGCTCTGGCCCACACAATCAGCTTTTGCTTGGCCCACTTGACGCAGTGAAATATGATACATGACTGGACCAAGTCTGGCTTCCAGACAAGGGCCAAACATTGACCATGTCTGGGCCAAGTCTTAGCCAAGTTAATAACACATAACTGAGCCTGAACTGGGCCAGATATGTTGGTGTTTCACAACTGAATGAATCAATGTATGAATCAATGAAATTGATAAATCCATAAATTATTGTGCTGTAGGCGTGCTATCGGTGTGCTTTTTCTTAAAGCGACCTGATTGGTAGAATTATTTTTCTTTATTTGAAAATAATAAAAATGTATTTTTAATGTGGGTCAAAATAGGCCAAACTTACATGGCCAACATATCAAAATCAGGGCCAAATACTACATTTTACATTAAGCCCAAGAATTGTACACCTCCACCTCTGCCAAACCATGCCAGTGGTGGATGAATGTTTGCTGTACCTAAATCTGGACCAGAATTTTTTTGCTACCTGTGTTATCTATATTTTTCTAAATTGTTTTTGTTTTTGATTTTTTCAGCAAAAGAGGACAGCAGTTTCCATCCTGGACCAGAATGAGGCCGAAACAGATTATTGAAACTGAGATGTTTAAACAAATAAGTGAGAGGCATTGCATTTCAGAACAGACCAACAACGATAACAACAACTGGACATGCAGCAACATCATCCTTCAGATGGAACAAGACTCTGACTCTTCCTAAGATATGCTGTTTTTTTTCAAGTTATTAATGGATAACACTGTACTTTCAGTTCTGTATCTGTAACTGCATTAAAAATTTATTCAGATGTTCTCAGACGAAGAAAGAGTCCCATGTGGATTTATAACGTTTCCATTTTTGTGTGTGAAAAAAGTTAGCAATTTCCTAGTTTGTTGCGCATTAAATATTTTTTTAAATGATCTTTTACATTTAACCATGAAGAAGTGTGTACTTTGTTCTTGCTTAAGTCATTGAGTTTGCTCCTCAGTTGTTGTTAATAATTAGAACAGGACGCCTGCTCTTTATTTACATTTATTGAGAAGTGATTTTTAAAATAACTTAAATTAAACATATGATTCACATAACATACATATCTATCGCTAAAGTTAATTATTAGGCTAATTGAGAATTATGTGAACTTAAACTCTTTATCTGCTTTTGTTTACGTGTGGGTATCAAGGTTCGATAGGGTTTTATAATTGAACGTGGTCTTGACGTCATCATTTCGCGTCAAGGTTTTCTGTTATCATCCTGCTGGACTTCTCGAATATTTGTTAGGATAAAACAAATGCCAACAGGTTTGTACTGGTTTCGCATCTCGCTGTGTTATTGTACATATATCTCTATTACTAGGCGTTAAGGGAAATTCGTTTTAATGCTCTCATTTGGTCACATTAGCCAAGCTAACACTAGTAACGTTAGCCAGCTGGTTGTTTATGTTATTGTTACATACAAGTGTGGCTATTAAAGCTGGCTTTTTACTCCCTGAAATAAATATATGGTTCACTCGTTTAACCATACACTATTACATCTTAAAAGGCAGTTCTTTGTTTTAGTACATAAAACGTTGTCGACGAGAATAAAAAAAACACCCGTTTAGTTCTTACAAAAGTTAACCATGGTTTTACCACAGTAAAAGTACATTATGTTTGTTTTGGGCACATTGGCTATCATTCGTATAACCACAGTTTTACTGCTAAATGTCATGGTTAATTTCTGGTTAGTGTAGCCTGCAAAGTAGGACAGGTTGATTTGAGGTTTAGTTGCAATAACCTATGACGTTATCTGTAGTAAAACTAACGTTACTGTTAGTTTGTTTTGAATACATTTTTATCTGAAAAATGTGTCTCTGATCTTGCTGAAAACTTGAGACAAATGACTTAAGTATTGTTGCTTAAGTAATTACAATGTACGTGTGAGTAGTTTCATGAGTCATAAAATGATTCATTTGTGGGCATATTGAGGTTTTTATTAAATTTTCTTTTTTATTTTAGGGTAAAACATATAGATCATGAATCCAACTACATAAATTGTTTCTGAAAAATGTTGTTCTTTTCTGTTCTTCTATAATTAACTAATTAAATGGTACTAAAATATGTAAACATGATGATCATGTTATCCAGATTTGTTTAAAAATAATTCAAAGTACATATTGAAAGAAAATTACAAAGCAGTTTCCACAATTAATGTCTTTTGTAGTCAATATTTTTAAAAAGGATGTAAGATTGTAAATATATGAACAATTTGTCACCATGCTCTCTTGTCCAGGGCCTGCAGTGGTGAATGAGGTCTAGAGTTAATAGAGCAGCTCTCCATTTGGAGCCAAGATGGGCCAGCAGCTTTCTGGCCAAGCAGTGACCCGATTACCTGAGAAACTGATCAAACATGTGGGGCTGGTGCGGGACAGTGGATATCTCACCTATGATGAGTTCTTGGGTCGTGTGGCCGAGCTCAATGATGTGTAAGTGAGGTTTTAGGATACAGGGTTTCCGCGGGGTCTTAAGAAGTATTAAAAATTGATAAATCAATGTAGAGAAATTTAAGGCCCTTAAAAAGTATTAAGAAGTCTTAAATTCTGTTTTACAAGGTATTAAATTTGGTATTAATATGCTAAAGTTTGCCTGAATTTAATCTTTAAATATATCAGGATGCTGTGTAGTTTATAAAATCAAAAAAATTCTGCTAGATTTGACATCACGCTGCTTTGTTTACTGCAGTAACTAGAGAAAGACTGTTATTCCTGCTGTTGTAAAGACACCACCTGCTGGATTAGCATTTTTATTCAATATATGAACAATGTTTTAGTTTAGGACCAGTTTCCTACTATCAGTATTTAGTAAATATACTGCGAGTTAAAATGTCAACAATGTTACTGGTTGAAGTCTAAATTGGTGATGAGGTCTTAAAATCTATGCAAAGAGTCTTTAAAAGGGTCTTAAAGGTATTAAATTTCATTCTTTGATGCCTGTATATACTCTGGGTTTTAGGATAATTAAGATTAGTTAAATGTATTCAAATAACTTAATATACAATTTCAGGTCCCACTTTATATTAAGTGGTCTGAACTACTATGTATTTACATCAAAATATAAATAAAATGTACTTACTGTGTTCATAATGCATTGAAAAACACCTCTGGTGCTTTTGAGGTGGGACACGGGTAGGTTTAGGGACAGGTTGGGTGGTGTGGATAGGTTTAAGGGTGGGTTAAGGTGAGAAGGAGGGGTCAGCAGTGTAATTGTAAATGTGGTTACAGAAATTAATTGCATGTATTTAATCAAGTATAAGTACAATGTAAAAATATGTATTTACGTAATAAGTACATTGTAACAGATGATTATTTTAGTGTTGGTATATATTAATTGGGAACACTTAATATAAATTTCCACTTAAATTTACTTGTGTAGGTGGCAAAATGTTTTTGCAAATTTGTTGTGGTGAATTAAAATAATAATTTAACGATACAATTTTTTATCATTTGCATGTAATATGACAATTAAGCTGTTTTGTCAAGTATATGAAATGATTACATATTCAAATAATCAAATGACCACGATCAGACAAATAAATCATTGTTATAGGCATTGACGGCACAGTTTGATAAGAATGTGCTTTTCCCAAAAATCAAAAATGTTATTTAAAACGTAAAGCTATTATTATATGAAAAATTTATAAAAAAAAAAAAAAAATCAGATTCACAAGACTGTTAAGATGCATTTAATGGTCATTATAATCTTAAATCCTTCAAAGCTTTAAAATATATATATTTTTAAAAAACGTATGAACATTTATTTGCGTGTATCATCATCTTTGGGTCAAATTCCAAAAAAATGCCTCTTATGCAAGGTGTTTCTAATGCAGCGTTTATGGGCTTAGAGTAAATTTGCCATTGTTCACTCTGGCTTTCGTCATCAGTCTCACTATTTTTATCCTTTTTCTATAAGTCTTGATAACACCATCCTGGAGTTTTTCTTTTATTATTTCTGCAAATAGGATTGTAAAAAAATATTTGCTGTGCTCTCTAATTCACTTATGCTCTAAGTTTACCCAACTATGACGCCTTCCACTACTGAGAAACCCGAAAATGTGAAAATAATCTATAAAACGATAACATTATAGGTCATTTTAAAAACACGATTAAATAAGATGTAAAACAATACAAATGTGTATATATAATAATATATAAAAACAAATGATAAAATAATATATAAAACAATAAAGATGGTGTCACAAAACATTGAAATACAAAGAAAACACATTTACCAATGATTAAATTGCAAATCCTGTATATAATGTACTAATGAATTTATTTGCACTTATTATTATTTGATTATTATTTATTATTTTATTATTCATATTTTCATGAGAAGTCTTTAAATAGTTTATATTTGCTTTTATTTTCTACTAGATAACTTCTTTTTCTCCAAATTCTTGTTGTTATTTTAAGGGTCATGAGCGCTCGTGTAAGCATTTAACTGCAAATAATAATGTGTATGTGACATAAAAATTTAAAGAGTTTTTTGTTTGCCCTGTTTAGTTTTATGTGGAGTTTAATGTAAAAAGCATTTACATTTGAAGTCGTCACCTTAACTTGCACATTTATTTTTCCCTCACAGAACTGCAAAACTCGCCTCTGGTCAAAAAAAACATCTATTGTTTGAAGTGCAGCCTGGATCTGATTCCAGTGCTTTGTGGAAAGTAGCAGTTAGAATAGTGTGCACCAAGGTGAGATCAGTGTACAAACCACTGGATATATAAAGGTGGAATATAATAAAACATTTTAGCATCTAAAATTGCAATGTAAAATAGTAGTTGATGTTTATCTAAGGTGGTAGATTGGTAATTGTTGTGTTTGCAGATTAATAAGGAGGATGGAATGGTAGAGGCGTCTCGTATTATGAACTTGTACCAGTTTATTCAGCTCTACAAAGACATCACCAGTCAAGCAGCTGAAGTATTTAGTTCAAATGTGGCGGCAGAGGGATCATCTGAAGACACCTGCCAGGCCAGCATGTGGATGGGCAGGTACTCCTAATTCAATTCAAGTTTATTTCTATAGCGCTTTTCACAATAATTATTGTTTCAAAGTAGCTCTACTAAAGGTGGTTATTAATAAGTTTGACTAATTATCTAGTAACTAATAGCTTTTATAGGCAGGTAGGCTTACTATAAATATATAAACATTGTTAATATGCAATTATATAGTCTATAGGCCCACATATTAGCCCACGTATACATATTGTTTATGTATAGATGTTCAGTTAAGTGTATGTGTTTGAACTGAGAGAGTGTGTCCGAGTCTCAGACATTATCAGTAAGGTTGTTCTAGAGTTTAGGAGCCATATAAATGAGAAGGCTCGACCTCCTTTAGTGGACTTTGCTGTTCTGGTTACTAGCCAGTTATTGTTCGGTTTAACAAATCTGCATGAAATGTTATGATGCGTAATGGAAGACTCCTTGTTTACTTTAGCTAATAATGCTATCTGTGCTGTGTAACAGGGTAAAACAGTTGACTGATGAGGAAGAATGCTGTATCTGCATGGATGGGAAAGCAGATCTTATTCTTCCCTGTGCGCACAGCTTCTGTCAGAAGTGTATTGACAAGTGGTAAGAGCTCATCATTTAATAATGACAGTTCTTTTAGTGTTCCTTTATGTTGTTCTAAATCCATTTGACTTGAGCTCTTCTGTTGGGGAAAAAAAGAAGATATTCTGAAGAATGATGAAGTCAGTAGAACTGTTTAGTCATCTGCATTCTTTAAAATATTTTCCTTTGTGTTCACAAAAGAGAGACCATTAATTTAGTTCAGTTTTATTAATTTTTTATTGAACTTTAATGGATTAGTTCATCCAGATCATTAAAATGGTTTACTCACCCTCATGTTGTTCCAAGCACACTATTCATTAATTACCCTTTTTTCCTCTGTGGAACGCTAAATGACAAATTATGAAGAAGTTTTTGTTCAGGACTGGTGCTTATCATTTCCAAAATGAGTCCTTTTAGACCACCTTGAGCTGGATCCAGGGTGTCTGTATAATTATTTTTATATAAAATGTAAGACTTTTTTTTAAGACATGCACAAATAAAATGAAATTCATATGTCCCTACAGAACAAACCCATAAAATCTCAAAATAGATAATGCATTTCAGATACTTGATTTAATTACAGACTGGAGCAACTTTTTAACAAGGGTTTAATATTATTTATCTGCCAAGTTTAAAATTATCAGCATGTGTTTTATTCAATATTTACAGTTAGTCCTCCTATGAAAATAATTTTGATTCTTTTTCAAGTATTTCCCAAGTGATGTTCAACAGAACAAGGGCATTTTTACAGTATTGCAATTGTATTGGTTCTTAGGAAGAAAGTCTCATTTCTTTTAGTTCGACTGGAATAAAAACACTTTTTTTTTTTTTTTTTTAAGTAAAAATAAATGTTGAGGTCAATATTATTAACCTCCTATTTTGTTGCCCAAAAAGTTCCTAATGAACCTAATTAAAGGGTTTAAATTGCACTTTAAGCTGAAATAACTAGTAAAATATTATGTACTGTCAGAAAAAAGAAACAAATGTTCTTTATAATAATTATAAATTAGTTAAAACTATTATGTTCAAAATGTGTTGAAAAATGTGTGTTCAGTTAAACAGCTCTTGGGAAATATTTAAAAAAGATTTTTAAAAATTCACAAGACGGCTAATAATTTCGCCTTAGCTGTAGATACTGTATGTATTAGATGTTAATTTAGTACTAATATATGCTCACCGGCCACTTTATTTGGTACACCTGTCCAACTGCTCAAAAATGCAAGTTTCTTATTAGCCAATCACATAGTAGCAACTCAATGCATTTAGGCAATTTAAGTGACTTTGAACGTGGCATGGTTGTTGGTGTCAAACAAGCTGGTCTGAGTATTTCGGAAACTGCTGATCTACTGGGATTTTCATGCACAACCAAATCTCTAGGGTTTACAGAAAATGGTCCAAAAAAGAGAAAGTATGTTCTGTGAATGTTCTGAAAATATGTTCGGCAGTTCTGTGGATGCAAATTCCTTGTTGATGTCAGAGGTCAGAGGAGAATGGCTAGACTAGTTCCAGCTGCAACAGTAATTCAAATAACCATTCGATACAACCACCATGCTATGCAGAAGAGCATCTCTGATTTCACAACACGTCTAAGCTTGAGGCGGATGGGCTACAGCAGCAGAAGACAAAACCTTGTCAGCTAAGGACAGTTTGAACACTTTGCTCAGGCTCACTAAAATTGGACAATAGAAGATTGGAAAATGTTGCCTGGTCTGATGAGTCTCTATTTTTAATGCAACATTTAGATGGTAGGATAAGAATTTGGCATCAACGACATAAAAGCATGGATCCATCCTGTCTTGTATCAACGGTTTAGGCTTGTGGTGGTGGTGTAATGGTGTGGGGGATATTTTCTTGCAACACTTTGGGCCCAATAGTACCAATTGAGCATTGTGTCAACGCCACAGCCAACCTGAGTATTGTTGCTGACCATGTCCATCCCTATATGATCACAGTGTACTCATCTTTTGATGGCTACTTCCAACATGATAAAAGTGATGTCATAAAGCACAAATCATCTCAAACTGCTTTCTTGAACATGACAGGGAGGTCACTGTACTCATATGGCCTCCACAGTCACCAGATGTCAATCCAATAGAGCACCTTTGGGATATGGTGGAACGGGAGATTCGCATCATGGATGACTAGCCGACAAATCTGCAGCAACTGCGTGATGCTATCATGTCAATAAGGAATATTTCCAGTACTTTGTTGAATCTATGCCATCAAGGATTAAGGCAGTTCTGAAGTCAAACCGCGGACCAACCTGGTACTAGTAAGGTGTATCTAATAGAGTGGCCGGTGAGTGTATTAACACATGCAAATTAAAGCTCATTTAATTGATTTATGAGGAAATCAGAAAGGAATTTAGAACAACATTATTATACCACACACAGCCGCAATTCCTAAATCCTTTTCATCGGCCATGACTAACCCTATGCCATTATGTCTGTGCCTCATACAGGAGCGGCCAGAGCCGAAACTGCCCCGTCTGCCGGATTCAGGTGACTGCCGCTAATGAATCCTGGGTCATGTCGGATGCTCCCACAGAGGAAGATGTAGCCGGGTACATTCTCAATCTTGCGGACGAAGCCGGTCACCCACACAGACCTTAAAAATCTAACACTGTGCCACTCTCATGCTCACCATCTCCCCATAAAAGACCACCTATATATAGTTTTCATAGGGTGACTGTGGGTATTTGTATTGTCACTCACTGGAGGCAATAACAGCTGATCATTTGAATTTTAAACACACTTTTAGGTTTAACACATGTCATAATAGATCCATAGACTGTAAACATTCAGTATGTAGGACGACAACATCTGCTGTAGCACATCATTGCCTCGTTATACTTGCTGTTTTATCTGGTTTGTGAAGTAATTGCACTTAATTGCGTTTGTTCTGTAAAGGCCTTGTAATACCTAACAAAAAGCATCACAGTGTCAGCACGTGCAACAGTTAAGTAGTATTGATGCTGTACTTTAATAACGCTGACTTTACAGTCGATGTGCGTTTATAATCTAAGCTTAAATGGATTTACTGTAGTGATTTATTTTGACATCAATGCGTAAGTTGGACTAACCTTTTAAAAGGGATAGTACATCTTTTTTTAATTTGCTCGCCATTTAATTGGTCCAAACTGGTTTCTTTATGCTGTTGAACACAAGAAGATATTTTGAAGAATGTTTGAAACCAGTAACCATTGATTTTGATGGTGTATTTATTTTGCTAAAGATTACAATGGCTACCACACTTTAAAAAATATCCATACATTTTCCGAATTTTGTGATTCATTTTTTTTATTTTTTTGCCAGTTTTTTTATGCTTTTGAATTGCATTATGGGACATTGGTCTTTCCTGCAACTATTTTTAACCTTGAAGTGACGTTTATTAACATGTTTAATAGTTTAAAGTGATATATTGTCTGGGTTGGTGTTGTATATTTTGGTATAAATAATGTGTAACAAGCTGCCAGTACATTTTCTGTAATTTTGAAGACTTATTTCTGTACACTATATCATATTCATTATATTATTCCAAAATAAAAGTCACTTTGTTTAACTGTATAGTTCAATTTTCAACATTAAAAGTTGACAGAGCAGAGATTAAAGTCTCACAATGCAATTCACAACCATAAATAAACAGAAAACACTTGTGAATCACAAAATATGGAAACGTTTAATAAACAAATATTATATTTACTGTCCACTTTCCAAGGTTATTTAAATATAATTATATTTAAAATAATAATTTGTGTTGACAAGAAACATTAAACTTCTTAAGGTTTGGAACTATTGGAGCCAGGGCTGAGTAAATAGAATTTTTTAGGTGAACTGTCCCTTCAATAATAGGGCATGGCGAATATTATGAAATATAATTGCAACTAATCCGCATTTGCTCGTTTTATTTTTTACAGCTTAATGAGGTGCAAATGAAATCGTTATTTTTTTTCGGGCATCTCTGACACTTTCAGTGGAGGTTAGTTACCTTTTAGCTTTTTTCCAGTGTGAAATCCTCTACTGTTCATTTCATCCTGCACTATTTTTTGTGATGAGAGAGTGACTGTGAATTTTGTTGGTTTTGGAAATTCACTTGTATTATAAAAGATATATATCGACAGATCTTTATAAAAAAATCAAATTTTTTGTGGCAATATATAAAGAGTTAACCCAGTTTATCAACATCTGCTAATCTAGTTTTAAACATTTAGTATCTGGAATATTTACACATATTTATAGATATTGGACTGAATGTCAATAGTTTTATCCAAATGAAAATGACACTTGTTGCTGCTTTCTTTCTCTTGGTGTTATTTTGATGGAGAATTATTTTAATTCTTGACAGAATTGGGATGTTAGGTGTTCTCGGGTTTCCTCCTCCTGTGTATGTCTTCAATAATAAAATAAATCAAGTATTTTGTTTTAGGTCTTGTTTGTAGGGTGTACCAGTTCTCACTACTTCCACTGGGCTGCAGTGTTGAGCAAATAATATTTTTTCTGTTTACAGCTGTAAAAAAAAATAAAGAGACCACTTGAACATCTAGATCAGGGGCCTGTTTCAGAAAGGAGGTTAACTGAAAACTCAGAGTATTTTAACCCTGAAATGAGAGAAACTCTGGGTTTTCCGTTTCAAAATGGCAGGTTTGTTAAACTCTAGAAAGCAGGGTAAGTCAAGCCTGTTTCTGAAAGAGAGGTAACTTTAACTCAGAGTAAGTTACTGTGGTAACTTACTCTGTGAATCTAACCTGGTCAGAAGCAGGTTTTATTCTCTAAACTCAGAGTTTCTGTCTGTCTCCTCCCCTTTTTTAATGATGAAGCGGTATTTCTCGCCTTAGCCTTACGTCTCCACACACCTATTTTAATGCTCATTTTGGATACGTGCATAAAAACGATTGATAGAAACGTCATGATGCACATAACTTTTTAAAATATGCATAAAAAACACGCATAACTGAGTAGGATAAACTTTTATTCGATAGAAAATGTGCGCATAAACTTAGATGGAAAAACTTTTACTGAACAAATTACAGTATGTACATTAAAAAAAAGATCATGATCATATGATAATGAAAATGTGTGTAAATGGACAAACCAGCAGGCTGGGCACACTGTAACACGTCTTAAATATTGTTTTAGTCATTCTAAAATGCCTTAACTGTTTCAGTATTAGTGTATATTATTAATTACCTCCGAACGTCTGGTGCGTGTCAAGAGTCTCCGCGTCTCATGGCTTCAGACGCCCCCACGTGTTCATTGTGTTTCAGCATTGTCTTCTGACATCGAGGCGCAAGTACATTAATTAGGCTAAATAAACGACGCAGCTTCTTCTACCACAGTAAATTCTGTTTTTACTGTTGATATTTGGTGCCAGTTTAATCAGGAAGTGACAATTTTTTTCTCTTTGACTCGTTGGATGGAATTTTATTCGCATCTTTTATGAAATATTCCAGTTTTGCACATAAACTTATGTAATATATTTGGATGGAAACATAGCTATTGCCTACATTTTAGTCACACACAGAAGAACTGTACTAGAATGGCTTATCCTTTTTTAATAAATAATTAAATTAAATTCACCTTCGACATGCACTGTAACTAGATTAATGGGATTATTATTCTTTCTAAAAATTATTTTTAGTACTGCTTACCTTCTAAATGTTATATTAACCTCTATCACTTGATCAATAAAAAAGGCAGACACACAAGTGCACTGTTAAATCATTTAAAACTAATAAATGTATAAAAAAGTTTAGAAAAAAAATATAAATGTCACAAATTACATTACTTATTTTATTATACTTAAATATTTAAATACTTAAAAAGTTAAATTAGGCATTAACTTGAGCAGCTGTTTTCCCACGCTAACTGTCTCTTCTTCACTGATGGTTGCTTCTTTTCAAATATATACACACTCATATTTGCTATAACTTTGCATGAGAACATCAAGTTCAGCTGGAGAAAGAAATGGTGATCTCTTTTATAACATATTGCCATAGTCACTCGTAATGTCTGCGCTCCATTGATAATGCCTTTTTAAAGTCACGGTGCACGCACTTAACTCTGAGTTGGTCTACTCGAAGTTGATTGACCCAACTCAGATCAGCTGTTCTGAAACCGAAAACTCTGAGTTTTTAATCTCTTGGTAAATCAACTCAGAGTTCAAGTTTAAACTCTGAGTTGTTTGAACCTCCTTACTGAAACAGGCCCCAGGTGTACCCAAACCTTTTCATATGAAAGCCCATAAACAAAATTTCTTTGAGAGTCGTGGGCTGAAGATATGCATATCAAACAATTATACAGTGAAGTTGCCTTGGGTAATTTCCTAATTTATTTCATAATATTTAAAAATGAATAGAAAACATTTACTTTGAATTGTTTTAACTAATGCAGTTTAACTTTTTAAATTAAAACTTATTGCAATTAAAACATAAACAATCACGTTTATAACACCGTGAAGTTCAATGCAGCATACACTTGTCAAGCCGAATTTGCCTTTGCCTTGATTCCCTCATTAAAGTCTCTGCATTTTCTATCCATCAGGTGACAGTATGTTCATTTTAAATTAAATTACAGCATTTAGATTGAAACATTTAAGTTCATTTATTTTTGTTTTATTTAGCTTAACAATAAACCAACAAATCAAATCTTGCATTAAAGTGTATCTATGTTAAAAATCATCATTTGTAAGCTTTTTAGACAATTGTTTGTATGTATAGTGTGTCCAAAGTCATATTAGAGTGATATAAAATCAATGTCTCTTTTTGTTTTTTCATTTTCCTGACATTAAAATAGGATCCAAACCCCTCCCATTTTGAGGCCCACCACAACGTGACGTAGGAGTGTGGTTTCCTGCCACCGTATTGATAGAGAGCTGCATATTAACGTCACTTTAGTAACGTGTATAATCATATCAAAAGCAAAGCAACCGGGTTTAAAAGATCTGTTCAGCTCTCTGTGATCATCAATCATCATCAAATGTGATCAAGAATGAGTTTTAAAAGTTTAAAACGTTTTAAAACAGTGCATGTTTGTGATGAATTACAGCAATTTTACCGTCTTTATCATCACAGCTGCATGTCAGTACAATTGAAATAAAAGAAGACGCTTCAATTCGGGTTTGTGGACGTTAAATCAGGTACATAATGGATATCCATACAGCAGTGGATATTAATGTATATCCTGCCACGTTTTCGTGCAAAAAGTTAAACATGCACGATGTGTGTGCGTGTGTGTACTTTGTATCGACACTAGCCCCTTTCAAACATACAGACCTTTCCGGAAAATTACCGTCAATTTTTCAGAAAGGTCTGTAAGTGTGAACAGGCCCTTTTTGAAAATACCAGTAAATTCATTTAGGCAATTTCTTGGAAAGAAAAGTCGTAACATTATCAGTATTTTGCCGAAATGCGTTTATGTCTAGAATGCACTGACGTGAGACGTCTACTCTAGCCAATCAGACACATTCACATCCATGCTGTTTATAAGAATAAAAGCCTTTGAATATTTTTTCAGACACATTTAGCTGCTAGATGTTAGTCAGATAACGATTATATGTTCCTTCTGAATGTCAACTGTGTAAAAAATTATCGATAAAATGCTCATGATAAACTGCTGTTTGTTTACCTTTACTGCTTCAGTTGCTTGATGTGTGTACAAGCAAAGCAGCCGGTAAGCGCCAACACACACACATATATTATAAACATCTCGACATGTGAGTGTTCATCCATATGTTTTCATATAAGTTGTTCACAATACTTATCAATCCACATAATTTGTAATTTAGTCAAGTGTGTGAACATTTAGCTGCGGTTCTTGTTTCTGCCTTTGGATGTCTCACAAAGCAGCTAAAACTTTAAATAAATGAAATCGCCGAACCCCTTCTAAGTTTACAATTACAAGCGCTGCCATTTATAGGATATTTTCTGGTTAATGATGTCAATTTACCGGTAATTTGGGATGATTGTGTGAACAGTCTTTTCCTGAAAAATTTCATAATATCCTCGATTCCTCGGCTCTGTGAACCTCTTTTTTACAAATTTACATTAAAGCTGTTCTCGAAATGTTCTGTATATTTACCCGTATCACAGTGTGAAAAGGGCTAATGTGTTTGACTTATCGTTGCAGAAAGGCTTGAATTAACTCCACAACAAATACATCAAATAATCGTTGGGAAAGTTCTTCCTGTAGTATTTCTCACAAACGTTAAGTGAGATCTGTTTTCTTCATGTCGGTCACTGTGTTGTTTATCTGACGCAGCCGAGGTGGAGATTTAGGCACACTGTGATGGGCAAGTGGGAACGGTGGGCAGGATGAATTAGCATTAAAGGCACAGGAAACAAAAACAGCTACAATGTGTTCAAAGCCGAAAATTCCAAAAATCTATAATAGTTTGGGCTGAAACTTTACGCATTCTGATGACACAAAAGACTCATCTTAAATCCTGAAAAAAGGTTAAATAAATGCCCTTAAAATTTAAAAAATGACAAAATCTAAATCATCCCCATCATTCTCCCTCTTTTTAGATGAGATGGTCGGCCAAATCACAGTTGCCATGGACATCTCTGCTCTAGATTATCTAGATTTATTAGGTATTTGGTAAATTTGTTAATATTTGTTTTCATTTTATTTCTATAAATCTCTGATAACATTTCTGCCAAATTTAATTTGTTTTCCAACTAAAAATGTCAATTGTTCAGAATAACAAATGTTTCCTTTGTAAATAAACAAAGGTTCACCAAATATACATTTTTAATTTTGAAGTTAAAACACCAAATTTATATGAAATTGTGTATAACGTGGCACCTTTTTGGTATTCAACACAAAAAGAGACTATGCAAATGACATTTTATTCAAACAAATACCTATTAATGAGATTTAGTCTCCTTTTTTTTCCATAACTATATCTGTGATTTTAAACTAAAGAGAAGCATCTTCAATTAATTGAGCAAGACTTTTTTTTTTTTTCCATCATTTTTTTATTTAACATTTTTGAGTGCCATATTCAGATACACAGAGCATAGTCACCATTCAGGCATGTTTTAATAGGCTTTTCTGAACCTTTAATAGGCTTTTCTGAAGGCTTTTCAAGCACCCATACATCATTTCTCATCCATAACAAAATCTTTAACAGTCTCAATCGGTGTACAAAATGTGCAAGTTCAAGTACACAAAAAATAAAATGTCACTAAGCAGTCCCCGAAATCTCAGGTTGTCAAACAAGTTTATCAAGGTTGTGTTCCAACTTTCTGTTCCACTGTCTTTTTATGTAAAACTTTTATCTGAAAAAAATGTGAAAAAGAAGTCATAAAACCAAAGGCTCCTTTGTTTAGAAAAGGTAACAAATGTACGCTCCCTCAAACAACAGAATTTTCAGAAAGCATGCAAAATACAGGAACAGTTTATTGTTCGTTTAAAA